AATAATTATAAAATATTTTATTCAATTATATATATTAACTCTATTTAGAATTCATATAATTATCATCTTTGTAGCTATTACCACTATCTTTTTTTTTACGTGCAACATTACAAATATTAATTAATATTTATATATCAATATTTATATATATTAATATTAAAAGAGTCACCAAAGAAACTTTTCTCACAATCTTTTCTTGGATATATCGAACAGCTTTTCTCATTTTGAGAATGTAGATCTCAGTAGCACACATTCACATGATAGTTCTCCGAATGTTCACTAAGACTAAAATTATATAGTCGGAAAGATCTTGTGACCAACGTGACGACTCGGGAGAGATTTTTTTCAGCTGATCGCATGCCTTCAGCTGATCGCGGAACCGGCAACGTCGCGCCAGGCGCGCAACAAGTCGCTCCTGTCAGAACAGACAGGGAGTCGCGGGACAGAGGGAAAGAGAACTCGCCGTTAACCTACCTCCTCGTTCTTTATAGTGGCCAAGGTGTTGACGTACTCCTTGAAACGATTCCTCGCCTCGACTGTAACACAAAATCGAACGTTACACACCACATTCGACACCACGGCGGCTTGGTCGTCGGCCGTCCACAGTGTTCATATCACATACGTGGACGCGGAATCACATTTCGCGATGGGATAATCGCGAGCACGATGCGTCGACGTGAATGTAACCCACCTCGTGTTTCCGGATCCGTCAGGAATCGCTTGAAATGCTTCACCAGGTCGTGATTACGTGCTGTGCCTCCGTTTTCCAGTAAATAGTTGCGAATCTCCTCGAGAGACAACTCACTGGGCGTCGCCATCTTGGATGAACTGACTCCGCCGCGAACGGCCGTTCGTGACGCATACGCTGTTGATAACAACGGTCACTGTAGTTACCGTCGAGAATAAGTGGACGTCAATTGATAAATTTTTTTACATCGATTCACTCTTTTATGTATTAATAAAAGCATTCGCGTGTAAATGCAGAATAATTACGACGTAACAGTTATAAATGTGATAATTCTAGTTAAGAACTTATAAATAGCGTATGCCAATAATTTTATATAGATGTATACATATATGTATACTGCTAATTAAGTTTTAAATTGATGTAAACATATTTTTAATAAATTAAACTAGACTGCTTAATTTGTAAATAACATAAATAAATAATGGAAGATCAAATAGGATTAAAATTGAAAAATGTATTTAAATAAATAGTAACACTTTTTTTGTGACGTTAAAAGAATAAGTGAGTCCCTAAGACAATTTTTTATTATTATTATTAGTTTCAAAAGAACTGAAAAAATTTTAAAATATTCATAAAAAGTTGCAACATATGAAGTACGATTATAATGAGAAACAAAATGTTGTCCATTTAACTAAATTAATTTAGTTATCTTTATTTCTTTCATTATAGAGAATGTATCTAAATCAAATATAATATGTTTAACTTAAATACATACACATTCTTCATCGAAAGAAATAAAGGTGAATTAAATTTTAGTCAAATGAACAATTTTTTTCTTATTGTAATAATATGATGATTAGTCTATCACGACTAAAACAAAACTATGAAAAATAAGACTGTGAAATACAAAATTATTCCAAATAAACATTACACTCTCTATTTAAAAATTAGAAAAATATCCTAGAATTATAAGGATTCAAATGCTCCAATTATTAATTTACATAGAGATATGATTAAGTATCAAGATTTAGTCTCGACTGTATTTGGTGCTTTTTTATGTATTTGTAAAAACATATTTCACGAATGATGTTTAATAAACGGCTCAGATAATCGCTAAAATCGTCGATAAATATACGAAACGTTATATATATTTAATAGCCTCGAAAGTATCTATCCATGTTAATGCATTCGTTCGCGATATATTATTCACCTGCGTCCGAATAGATGATTCTCAAAAGCCTTTTAAACTGCACGTTATTTCGCAGATTTTCAACGTTCGAACGGCGGTCTCTGATTTTCGTCGACCGAATTTAATACCGTATTTTAAACACGCTGGCACATATTAATGGAGGCGTCGCAATGTCGGAGTGCATTTAACGCTTTCCCGCCGTAAGCTCTTTACGATCGGATAGGATCAAAACGCACGACACGCGCGCTTCATGCGAAACCTTTTTAACAGACGTTCAGGCGAAATCGTAATCTGTCCCTGCCAACGTCGGCGCAGGGCACCGTCCGGAACACGCGCCTCTATATTTATTCAACGACCAATTAGTAACCGACGCGATAAATTCTACCTTAATTTATGATCGACCATAATTTTCCATGTACTTTTAAAACTGCCTCACATGAGAGAGTATAAGGGACGTATATACATATTCCATCACGTTCGCGTCTCACGCCTTTTCATTTAGGCGCATACGATTGTAGATATTAATGAGAGAAAAGAAGAAAAAATAATTGTCAAAATATTTAATCTTAATTTGTATATCGCAACTTGATAAATTTTAATATACGTTGCATTACGCAAATACATCGTAGACATTATTACGTTCCGTTATATTATGCGCATATATTTAGGTATGTGTGTGGCTGGTATAAAATTAAGGAATATGTGTTCACTTCCGGTCCCCCCCACCTTCAAAGGGTTAAAAACTATTACAGCGTACCTTGTGTATACCACTGAACTCTCGTTAGCTGTACAATCACGCGCCTGTAATAGCAGCGACTCTTATTAACAGTGTCTCGTGATTAAGAAAACGACCTTACTAATCACCCTTGATGTGTAGAAATATACGTAAACCGAGAGACGAGAGCAAGAGTGCCAGAAGGGCGGGTATATTATATGCGTGCGGCACGCAGAGGTCTGCACGCGTATGTATCCGTGAAACGGAAGTGAGGCGGTACCTTTGTAATTAAACCTCCTTTATCGGCGATATTCTAATGAAATGACGAGTAATGATCGAGCGCAGTTCGCAACAGTCGCACGAACATCCTTCTCTTCAGCATAAACATCCTTGTTTTCACTTACAAATATCTCGCTCAAATTTATGTTCAAAAAATTAAATTTCTAATTATATCATATGCTATAAGATTTCATAATTACATATGAATTAATAGTTTTTATATCGTTACAAAATGCTCTCTTACGAAGCAAAGAATATAATTACAAACATGGAATTTTACTAAATCCATGTAAAAATTTAATACAGATCTAGCTAAATTTTTAGATACTAGTAATCCAAAAATAATTGTATCAGATTTTATTATAAAAATAATCTTGTTTAAACCACCAAATTACAGAATAATTACAGAAGGCTTGAACGTTATGACAACACTGCTAAAAATTGTAACAAAATTGTAACATATAGAAAGAACGGTTGTATTGAAGTATCTAAAATTGAACTAGACACAAATCTGAAAATAATTTTGTTAGAACTATTAAAATATTATGTAACTACTACTTAATCTAGTTACTAGAATGTTAAAACTTTTTGCAGTGTTGTCATCAACATTGAAGCGTTCTACATAATTATTATGATGGTCCAACAAAGTTATTTTCAAATCTAAATTTCTAGATACTTCAACAAAACTGTTCCTTCCATGGCAATCTGAGTGTTCTACATAATTATATTAATGGTCCACACAAAATTATTTTCAAATTTATATTTATCTCAATTTTTTAATACTTCCACTCATCCTTTCCATAAAGAAAATATCGAGAAAACGTATGTAAATGCAATGCATAGATATTAAATAGTGTTTTTTTATTGACAGAACTAGTGCGTACTCAGTGCACATTACTGTTGTTGTACATTATTCTAATCTAAATGTAAAAGTAAGATATCTCAATTGAGAAAATGCTCAATGTATATTTTATCAAATAGCACAATAAAATGTATTGAATATTTCGTGGTTTAATTTTCGTTTCTATATTTTTATTAAACGTATATCTTCTCTTTAAATCAGAATCAGTGGATAATCACTGATATCAGTGCCAAGTATGCCACTGACAATGAGTGACTATGTATATCCACTGACTCAGACTTT